GTGATCCTTAGATTACCTTGATTAGTGTGTAGTGTTTTATTATAAGTGTAATCCAAAAGTCACAAATCTTTCATGATCATTTTCATGAAAGAATTTTCATAATACCTAGCATTGCTGCTATTTATATATATCCATATATATAGACGAATCTATTGAGTTGCCAAACAGGAGAAGAAAAAGCTTGGTTTGTGGCATTATTTAAAAAAAAAAAAAGTGTTTGGACGTTGCCTTTTTAATAATAAAAAATTGTGAGTGCTTTGTTTTTTTTATTATCTTTGACTTGAAGAAAAAAAAAAAAAGTGGGCCTTATACATTCAAAAAAAAAAAAAAAAGATATTTATTTATTTTTTTAATATTACTTGTCGATTTTATCTGTAAATTACGATGAATCCTCAACTTTATCCTTAGATTCTATCCAGACCAAATATTCCCGAAGACGTAATGTAAAGTACGGCTAACAAGGTGAAATTATGCATGTCCGAGAAAATTACAATTTCTCATACACGCAAGGGGCAAATGTAAGGGGAGCTAATTTAAACCCACTAAATAATTAGGCCCAGTAGTCCAAGATTGGTGGGCTCGGATTTATCGCCATCAAACGGACCGAATCGCTCTAATCCTCGAAAGGGTTCGGATCCACGAACTTAGAGACTTACTCGGGCCCGGACTCGAAAGGGTATTGAGCAAGCCTAGAGATCCGAGGCACTCGGACTCGAAAGGATTCGGACCCACAAATTTAGAGATCCGAAGCACTTGGCTTCGAACGAATTCAGACGCAATCTAGAAGTCGCTCCGTTAATGAGTCCCAGAACACTTGCGGGCTCGGAGCTTTCCGGGATCTACGCACCAGAACCATGGGCGTAATGGAGTTCAAACAAAGGACCCGATCCTAAGGACGGTGAGTGGAGATAAATTCACTCTTCGGTTAAACTAGCCTATACCCGGGTTGAGGTGGCATGATCTAGGGGGTCCTTGAGACTCGGCAATATTTGCGACAGGGCATTCTCTTGAACTACCCCTGACCCTTATGCGGCAGGACGTCCTCTGGGGCTACCCCTAACCCTTTGGGATGATTGGAGATCATTGGTTAGGTGTGGCTAAGAAAGAAGGGTTCGCCGAGGGGTTGATCTCGTCTTTGGGGTTTTCCTCATCCTCGGAGAGGTCACCTCATCGGACAAGGTGGTTAGAGAGAATATTCCCCATGTGCTTTGCACATGGGCTCCATCCTACATCATGAGGTGTCTATAAATAGCACCCACCCATAGCTTTACAAGGGATGGATTTTAGAGAATTAACTATTGGGAAAGAATTAATTTCCCTTCTCCATTATCAACCTTGAGAGTGAAAGTGGGAGATCCATGGGAGAGCCTTGCCATTATTCTCTCTCTAGCCATTTTGCCTTCTTCTTCACCCAATCTCTTATCTCCATCATCTCTTTTACTCTTGTGTTCTTGAGTTGAGACTATTAAAGAATCTAAGCCTCTCATCATCTTCTAGAGAATTCGAAGTTGTTCTTCAAGGATCTTCGAAGATATTCGAATTTTCCAGCGACGTTCTTGGACCCTCTCATACACAACATAAACCAAGTGAGAACAGCCACGGACTCCGCAATGCTTGATCTGTTGGCTTTGGGAATCAAATGAAACCAACTCATTCTCTTCATCTCCAATCATTAGCACATCACCATATATTCTTCCTAAAACCCACCACTCTTGAAAATTCTTCCTCTAGAATTATTGTGAATTATTTAGTCCATGACTCCACGACACTGTATTCTTCCACTACCCATATGTGGAAAGTCATACGGTCTATATTTTGTTCAAAGTCGATTACAGAAAGTGAATCACCCAATACCATAACCTGCATCCTTGCAGTAGGTATTAAATTAAGTAGATGGTTCGGCAATGCCATGTCCCTAAACACCTCATCACCCATATCAAAATCCGATGAATAGCCCCATTCACAAACACAAAGGGGGCACGATAAAATGCATCATAACAAAAATCAGCAACACAAATGGATCTCCAAGAGCGAGTGCTAACATAACATAAAGCTCCACTGTCCCTAGAACAAATTCATTGGTTCCATAGAAGCAAATTGAATTGAATGGGCATAAAAAAGATTCCATTAAGCACAACAAGCCCATTACATGAACCCACAATGTCTAATGATTTCTCGGAATTGTGAAATGGGGATGGAAGAAGCTCCACATACTCATCATCGCTATAGGTTTCGCCATCGAAACATGAAATGTAGTGCCCTTGATTCTGAGATTCGTACTTGGTCAGAAATTGGGTTGGTAATAAAGGAGTACCAGGATTTGGAGACTGACCTGAATAGAAGCAGAGACTTCACGGGTAGTCTTCCTTTTCTCTTTTAAGCTTCTTGCACAGTTTGTGAGAAGATTGAGGCCTAAAAATTAAAAATGTTTTGGTTTAATTTTGAGAATTTGTTTTCTGGAATTAATTTTTTTAAAAAATTAATTTGATAAAAATATATTTTAAAACTTTTGAAAATTATTTCTATCCTCAAAAAAATTAAAATTATATAAAAAATTATACGTATTTTTTTTAAGTATTTAAAAAAATTAAAAAAAAAAACGTAATTTGAAAACAAATGAAACAGAGTTAAATAGTTTGTTGTTCATTTATATATATATATATATATATATTTTGTCTCATCTTAAATTTTCACTCAGATTTTATTATCAGAAAATACTGGAGATTTACAATTTTAAACTCACTAGTAAGGGGTTGTTTGGGGTGTCCTAAATAAGTACACTTTTTGTCTTTTTGGACTAAAAAATTAAGGAAGAAAATATAGATGTTTGGGTTAACTTTTTGACTTTTTATGAAAAATGTGTAATAAAAAATTGTAAAAATTGGTTTGTAGGAGAAAATTAGGATTGTGAGTTGTGCAACCGTAATTGTTGATTTTTGGTGAATAGTGTTAATTTTTTAATTTTTTGAGTAACTTTTTGACTTTTTGACTTTTCCTGGACATGCCAAACTTGGCCGAAATAGTCATGTGTGGTGCATGTTGCCTATTAGCCTTTTGAATTAAAATTAGATAATAGTAAATGTTTTTCATTATCTAATATAAATGAGAAGATTGTGGATATAACCATAATGATTGATATTGTGGTTTTATTTTTTATTTTTATAACCGAGTGTTTGGATTAATTTATGCTCACCTCGACTAATCTCGAGACCTACACAAAGTGTCTCCTTTATGTGGATTAGATAAATCTCCAATAGAGTGCACGACTGTGGCCCCAAAGAGTTAATGACTTGGTTTGGGAAGTGGGTTGGTTTTTTGGCTTTTTTGACCATTTTAGCCTAGGGCTAAAAAGTCTGGTTTGGGAAGGACTTTTGACTTTTTCGACTTTTTTGTGAGAGAAATAATGTAATGATTATGGATTAGATGTGATATTTTGTTTTGTTAGGGCTAAAAACTCAGTTCCCAAACAATGCCAATAGCACCTGATAAGAGTTGAACTTAAGACCTGATAGAACTGAAGTATAATTTTGAAACTTCTATAATAGTACAATTACAAGTTAGAATTTGAAGATTTAGCCTTGTCTTTATCGTTCACACATGAACAACTCAATGTAAGTTCTTTTATCAACATCTAAATCCCGAAATTTAGGAAATGTAAATCACCTTCAAATTTTTTTAAAAAATAACCTTTTTATAAACAAATGTTCCACAACAAATTGAATATTCGTTATCATCCAAATGGAACAAACTTTTTTTTTATTATTGCTTTTGAGTCTACTTAAGAATATTGCATGCATAATAACTTCTCTTTTTCTTTTTCTATATTACATAACATAATAGAAGACAAACACTCTTAATTCATAAAAGATTAAATATCATTTCCGCCCCTAAACTATCACTCGTTTTTCACGCGCACCCCCGTACTTCTATTTATTTTAATCTAGTACCTAAACTTTTCACAAATTGATCAATTAGCCCCTGCCGTCACCTTCTGTCTACAATTGAACGGAATGTGATGAGCTGTCCCCCTGAACTATCTTTTGGAGGGAATATAAGAGGGCTTCCTTACAAAAATAAGTTGGAGGGAATATAAGAGGGCTTCCTTACAAAAATAAGTTGGTTTAGTAGACAGTTCAATTAGGGCTTCGTTGGGATCAAAATTGGTTTTAGGGTTTTCAAATTCCTTATTCAAAATCGAAATCGAAGTTCATCAGTGAACAAAGGGCACGAACTAACATTAAATCATAGGTTGGGTTTGAAGAGAGAATAATGGCAAGCGAAGGAAGCGACCAATAGTTTATGATATTTACTTTTAATATTTGTTTAATTTTGAAGCTAATGATTATGAAAAATCGATTTATGATATAATACTATTTTGATTTGGCATTTTTTAGAATACATCTTTGCCTGGTTGTCTTTGAAAAGGATTTGTTTAATCGTAATTGTTTTACTTGCATAGTGTAATGCTTGATTAGTTTTAGTTTAATCAGTCCTTAAAAGAAACTCATTTTTTATGTAATGCTTATTAAAAATCAATTTAGTTTAATCAATTTTTAGAATACAATTTTGTTTTAATGTATTCATACATGGATTTCTTCAATTGGAATTGTCTTATGGTAATAGTAGTTTAATACTATTTTTATTTATTTATTAGTAAAATTAGTCCATAATAGCATATTTTTTCATTTAAAAATGCAGAGAAATGATCTTGTTATTTCACAATCAAAATGCTTCATGGGGGTTTGGTTAGTTATAATTCTCAGAGGGTTTATAGTGGTGGATCGATCAGTTATTTTGACTTTTGTAATTATGATGAAATATCACTTGTGGAGTTGGATAATATGGCCAAGGGAGTAGGCTGCACTGGATGTAACATCTATTACTATAAGCTTAATTATTGTGTTGGGTTAGAGTTGATTAACACTGATGAAGATCTAATGAGGTTGGAGACATTTATGGATGGAAACAGAGTAGTAGAGGTTTATGTAGGTTGTTGAGGAATGGATGGTGTTATAGGGTCAAGTGCAAAAAAAAGTCAGAGAAATGGAGTACTTGTAGATATACAGGTAGCAGAAGAGGAAGATAGTGATGACTACGATCCTAATCTCTCAGACTTTTCATCATCTGATGAGTCTGAGAAATATAAGGATAGTGACTTCGGATATTCTGATGATGATGCATTGTATGAGGCCAATGTTGACAAAGAGCTAGAGTTTGCTGGTGTAGGTAGTAAGAATGCAATGGTTAAGGCAGTTGATGACCTACAAAGCCTTGGAAGCTCCTCTGATGAGCTAAGAAGTATTGACAGCTTATTTGATGAAGGAGGTACTTCTCATATGAGGCAATACCCTATTTTTAATGTTCACTATGATATACACAGTCCTCAATTCAAACTTGGTATGGAGTTCAAGAGTCATAATATGTTTAGGAATGCTGTGAATGAGTCTGCAATTAACTGGGGCAAACATATAACATTTACTAAGAATGACAAACAAAAGGTGAGGGCAAAGTGCAAAGTTGGTTCTCCTTGGGTTTGTTATGCTTCATGTGTAAAACATAATGGGTTGTATAGGATCAAAACACTTGTTGATGAGCACACTTGTAATAGGTCTTTTAATGTGGCACATGTGAGTTCCAAATGGATTGTCAGTAGGTACTTTAAAAGAATTCGGTTAAATCCTACATGGCCAATTCAGTCATTGGAAGACACTATTTCAAGTGAGCACAATGTGAAGGTTAACTTACAAAAAGTGAGAAGGGCAAGAAACAAGGTATTGACATAAGTAGAGAGTACTGCAGCTAAGCAGTTTGTAATGTTATGGAGTTACATTGAGGAGATTAGGGATATCAATCCTGGAACAACAGTCTGCATGAAGGTGAAACAGATTCCAAAGGTTAATGAAGGGAGTAATCCAACAATTATTGATGGGAGCAATACAGAGTCAAAGTTCAAAAGGTTGTACTTGTGTTGGGGTCCATTGAAGAAAGCTTTTATGAATGCTTGTAGGCCAGTCATAGGAGTTGATGGATGCCATTTGAAGGGGTCACATGGTGGTATTCTCTTGACTGCTATTGGGATAGATGCAAACAATTGCATATTTCCATTTGCCTATGCAATTGTTGAGAAAGAGAAGAAAAAAACATGGTTGTGGTTTGTAGAGCTGCTAGGACATGATCTGAATATTGTAAACTCTCATTGTTATATCTTCATGAGTGATAAACAAAAGGTTTTGATTGATGCAGTGGCTGAGTTGTTCCCAAATGTTTCACATAGGTTATGTGTGAGGCACTTGTACAACAATTTTAAGGGTAAACACATGGGGTTGGTTCTAAAGGATCTGTTGTAGAAAGCTGCAAGGGCAACAATTGTTCCTGCATTTACCAGAGTGATGGCAAAGATTAAAGAAGTTGATTGTAAGGCATATGATTGGTTAGTTAACAGACCACCAATTCATTGGAGTAGGATCCACTTTAACACTTTTCCAAAGTGTGACCTTTTGCTAAACAATCTATGTGAGTGCTTCAATGCAAGCGTCTTGGAAGTTAGGAGTAAACCTGTGGTTACAATGTTAGAGAAGATTAGGTTGTTGTTGATGGAAACAGTTCAAAAAAAAAAAAGAGATGTAATGCAAAGACACAATGGTCCTATATGTCCTAAGATTCAAAATCATTTGGAGAAAATGAAAGTGGATGCAGGTGGATGGATTCCTAAATGGAATGGCAATGAGCAATTTGAGGTTATAGGGCCATATGGTGAGCAATACAAGCTGGACTTGCAAGCTTGGACTTGTGGCTGCAAGAACTGGGATCTGTCAAGCATTCCATGTGCCCATGTTGTGGCTGCTGCAAATTTCTTGGGTCAAAAACCATAAAAATATGTTCATCAGTACTACAAGGTGGAGACTTATCTGAATATGTATGACAATATGTTGACTCATATTAATGGTAGAGAAATGTGACCAAGAACTGAGTATGCAAAGGTGCTCCCACCTAATGTGAAAAAGAGAGTTGGGAGGCCTAAACAAAATAAAGAAAGGAGACTGAGGCACCAATTCAAAGGCACAAAGCTAGGAAGACATGACACTAAAATGACTTGTAATAATTGTGGGAATGTAGGGACACTACAAGAGAAGTTGCAAGGTCAATGGCAGATTCAGCTGCATGTAATAAAGCTAACCTCAGGGGAGCCAAACTAAACCAAGCCAACCTCAAAGCCAATTAAGTGCAGAAGCACCTAAGGTTAAGAGACACATGAGACAGAAGAAACTAGCTATCAGTGTTTTTCCTTTTTTTTTTTTTTTAAATAGTAACTTAACTATCCTATATTTGATTATGTTTAATTGTGGATAATTCAATCTTATTGTAGGTTAAAAGGAGAGTGGTACAAGAAAGTCAGTCAACTCCATCTCCAATGACTTCAACCAGCACACCAAAGGGGGGTCAAATGATGTGGAGAGGCAAGCTAGTGTACAATGATAGTGGCATTAAATCAGCATCCACTGGTTGTCACAAACAATTATGTGTTTTGAAAGCTTGAATGACAAATTTATGACTGTTGCTTTTGTGCATGATGCTCTATTTTAATGGATGGTACTCCTCATTTCTATGTAAATGTAGCTTGTGTTGGTTTTGGTTTCTATTACATGGATGGATTCCAATTGTGAGTTTTGAATGAATGCCACTGATAGGTTTTTTATTAATTGAATGAATGCAATTTGATGGATGGATGCCAGTGACAGGTTTTTTATTCATTGGTTGTCATTTGATGGATGGATGCCAGTGATAGGCATTTTATTTATTGATTGCCAATGGGCTATTCAAAGAGGTCATCAATTAGTTATTTTGATGGATGAATGACAAATAGTTAAAGTAAAACACAATGCCACTTTTGTTTTTGTTTTTGTTTTTGGTTTTAATTAAATGATAATGCCCTGTTTTTGTAAGAATGAACACAAATTGTTTTTTAAGGGGACAAACAAAGGCTGTGATGCTCTGTTTTTTTTAAGAGTAAAACCTTAACACAAAATCTAAAATTTTCATTCAAAATACTTTCCTCATTAGATTTCATTCATAATATTTCCCCCATTACATTTCATTCATAGTATTTCCCCTCATTACATTTATTCATTCATAATAGTCCCCCCTATTACATTCTTTCTTACACTAGATTACAAACCACATTGATAAAATGATGCACCATGGGGCAGCCAAGCATATCCATAGCTTTCTCTCTCTTCTATTCCTTGTCTGCAATCTTGCTTCTAGCTTATTAACCTTCTTCAACAGCCCAGGGATGATTTGCATTGCTGTAGACACCCCATTTTTGACCATCCTCAAGACTTGGACGTCACCGTTTGAACACTCGGTGATCATCATTGTTTGTGTTCGTCTTGAGTTCCCGGAGGTCTCGGCTACGCGCCTTGCCTCAGGACCTCTCGACTCGACTGTTTTGTGTTTGGTTTTGCACTAAACACTTGTGTTTTTGCTTTAGAGGACAGGGAATGGCTTATTGGCCATCCCCACACATCACCGGCCATGGCTTGAGGCCACCGGCTGTGTTTTGTTTCCACCGGCCAAATATTTGCCCGGCCGGCACTATATATGGTCGACCGGCCATCTATTTTGGCCAAATTGCATTTTTGGCTGGTCGACCACTGTTCACCTGCTTTTGCAGATATTTTTGTGCCAGCTGTGATAGCTGGCACCCACCTTTGCTCCCCTCCATACACGTGTATGGAGGGATTTCAACATTGTTAACTTGCCTTAGAAGCTTTACAAGGTTGAATCTTCTATAAGAGGAGGCCTCTCCTCCCTCTTTTAGGTTAGACAACTTTTTTTAGAGCTTTGAGTTCTAGGGTTAGGGTTTGCATATATTCTATCTCTATATCTCTCTCTCTTTGTGTTTTTGTGTGCGTTTTGTCTTACTTTTGTGCACAAACACCCACCATCACACCTTCTCTTGGAACTGAGGCACAAGAGGGATGTTCTTGGTGTTCTTGAGTGGTTTTGAGCTCAAGGAAGCTGCTGGTCCACCATTTGTGAAGAGGGTCTTCAAGGGTAACATTCTTGCTCTTTTTACTCCATTTTTGCATAGCTTTTTTGACTGCCTTGCAACTGTTTTTAGACTTGGTGTACAACATATAAAAGTCTTGTTTTTGCCTACTCTAAATAGTTGTTTAAGAGTACTTTGAGTTTTGAGGCTGTTTGACCCCTCTTAAGCCTTGTTAGGCTCTATTTTTGTGCCATTTTGGTGAGCTCCGAGACCATTGTGTTTGGGCCTCCTCACCACTGAAATCTTGAGGGATTTCAGTGGTAAGGATTGTGCCTTGAGGTCCTAAGAAGGAGAGGGCCACCCCCTCTCCTTGTTGTCCTTGAAAAGGGCCATTTTAACCTCTTGTGTGAGCATCTAGTTTAGGTCCATGTTGATCATGCCTTAACTGATTTTTGTACTTATTATGCCATAATATAGCTTTGTTTTTAGTTGGTTTAGGTACACCATGCTTGTTTAGCATACATGCCTTGTAATGCCATGTTTTGGCCTAAACATGCTTTAAGTGTTGACCCTTGTTTTAGCATGATTTTGGCCAAGCTTTATGAAGCTTTTGTGTTTGTTTTAGCATGCTTAAGTTCTGTTCTTGGTCGTTTTGGTCGACCATAGCATGCTTAGTATAGCCACCTTGCATTTTGGCTTGTTAGCCTTAGGTGTGTGAGTGTGTAGCATGCATTACTTGCATTATTTCAGTGGTTTAGAACCACTTACCATGATATTTCAGTCCTTATAACATGCTTGCATACTTGCATTTGATACTCCTTTGTTGCTTTAAAAGGTTGTTACCTCATGCTCCATGAATGTGCTCCTTTGTATGCTTGCATGTTTAAGCCACTTAGATGCCATCTAGGTGTTCCCTTAGCATTGTCTAAGTCTGCCTTGAACCTGTTTTAAGTCCTCTTGGCCTTGTGAGGTTTGGTTGACTTAGCCATGGTTTAAGTCTCCTTGACTTGCCTCAAATACTTGGACCAATTGCATTCCATGTTTGTCTTGTTTAAATTGGTTAGGCACCATTATTAACATGATTTCTAGAGTTTACATTACATGCTAATTGTCCATGTTTAGGCTCCTTTAAGTGTGCTTAAAGATTGCTTGTTTGATACTTAAGTGTTGGCACATCAACATGCACATGTGTGTGTGTGTGTGTAAGCCCTCATTTCCATAACATTGGCCACTGTTTTAGGCTTGTTTGGGAGCTGCCTAAACTAGTTTAAGTTCACCCCTTTGCATGTTGTTGCATGCTCACCTTGTGTATTTGTTGCATACTAGTGTGTTGTCGCATGAATGAATGAAGTCACATGCTTTCTTGCATGCTTGAACACCCATATTGTGTCTTGCATACTTGTAGGTTGCATTGCTTCATGCCTTACATGCTTCTTTACTTAGGTTGTGTGCCTAACCTACATTACACATTGCATTGCCATGTTGCATACTGGCCTCCATGCCTAGGATGCATTGCATTGGTATGCATGTTTTACCTCTTGAGTTGAGTATGATAGAGGTGGAGCCCCTTTGTTTGATTATGTGCATTGCATCCCATATCAAAATGCATACTTGGTTTCTTGGGCCATCACGCATTGAAATGCGCGATTGGTAGTCAGAAAATCGAGGGTCATGCCCCTTTGAGTCATAAACATGATAAGAGGTGTGGTTGGTGCATACATTGCTTGAAATGCATTGTCATGCTATGTTTTGCCCTCTGCTGCTGTCAAAAACAGATTCTGCAAGAAGATTTGGCCGGCCGGCCATCTATACTGCCGACCGACCAAATATGGATGGCTGAGAGCCCAAAAAATGGTCGATAACCATTCTCCATGGCCGGTGACCAATTCCCTCAACCGGTGGTGTTCCACAACATTCAGGGAAGCAACCCTGAGATTTGTGCAGTCTTCAGAGAAGGATAACAGTCAAAGCAGAGGCAACTTGTGCATGGCAGTGGCTTTCCGAGCGGAGCCGAGCGCACATTGCATTGGGCCCTCTTCCCGAGGCTGATTACTGCTTTCATTAGATTAGTTAATTTGTTAATTAATTAATTTGTCTGTAATAATTAATTAGCTTGTAGGTTAGTTAATTGTATTATTCTTTCGGTCCCTCCGAGCGAGGGCGAATTTGTAATAAGTGTGGGTGCGTGTGTGCATGTCTTCCAACCCCCACTTCTTTCTCCCTTTTACTTACCTGCTTTGATGGTTAGTATTAGGGCATGTTTAATTTAGCATACCTTATGCTATGCATGCGTGCATCATTCATTAGTCTTGCATGCACCAGGCTCGGCGCATCATGCTAACTGCATAAAGTATTTCAAATCTAACTTGAATACATGCTATCTGTGCATTTTCACATGTCATCCTTAGATTAGCCGAGCCTATCCTAGATTGCATTCTGTATGTGTTGCATTAGCCACTTAACATGGACTTGGATCATGCATTGATTGCTAACGTGTTCTTGTCTTGGCTCGGAGTACATTGTAAGTATTTTTATGCTTTAGCATCTCGCATGAGTGTGAATGTTAACATGATAGCATGCTTACCATGTGTCTATATGCTTATGTGATATAACTGCATGAATGTCTGTTGGTGAAGGTTGGATTGTTTGAATTGGGATAATTCATCGAAATCTGTATTTTAGTCTACTCGCGAGTAGCAAAATTCAAACCATTTTCTAAACAAATGGAAATGCGATGCTTTGTTCCGACTTAGGCAATTTAGTCTATACTTGTTTTGATGTACGCATCACATAGTAATTCTAGGCTAATAACCAGTATAAGAATGCATAATGTTTTCAAAACAAGATATCATGGTTAGTAAAGGCCGATCTTCAGATCGG